TATATATATATATATATATATATATATATATATAACATCTTGTTTATGTATGCTTGTGTGTTTGTTCTGTACTTGTCCATTTGTTTGTTTTCTTCTAACTCTTGTAGTTTGCTTGCATGCTACAGCAGCAGGTGTAGTCGGTCTGTACTTGTGTATACAGGTGGTTGAAGACGGCTATGAGTTTTTTGCTAAGAGGCAACTGGTCACCCTCTTCAGCGCCCCTAATTACTGCGGAGAATTCGATAACGCAGGGGCGATGATGTCGGTGGACGAGACCCTTATGTGCTCATTTCAGGTTAGCCACAACCCAAGCACCAAAGGGACCTGCATGCATATAGCGATGCATGCGTGAACGTCGTGGTGTATTGCTGTTGTGTGTTTATGCTTGTTTTTGATTCATTTGTTCGTTTTGGGCACAGATATTGAAGCCAGTCGAGAAGAAAAAAGGAATCAGCAAGTGAACCGATGCCGCCTGCACCAGCAGCAGCAGCAGCTGAGGGCAGGGAGCGATGCACAGGGGAGCGTTTTGCTTCTCATTGTCACATCATATCTGGGGAGGAGTTTTCCCCCAGTGCTAAAGGGGAACGTCATCACGAGGGCACAGGCTTCAGTTGGCAGCTGCGGCCGCTCAACTACGTAGCTAGCTAGCTAGCTAGCTAGCTGGCGTATGAGCTCGACAGCTAGCTGTGGAGCGGGCTAGGAAGCATATTAACAGAACAGACACCTACATGTTGGGCTGTTTTTGCTGAACTCTCACTTACAGGACCCCCCCTCCCTTGCAGTGGCCGGCCCCTTAGAAGGGCGTTTGTGCTGCGGTGTGCCTCGCCTCCCCCTCAGCGGGAATAATCAAGTCTGGCTAGCTGCTCGCTAGCCAGGAAGCTAGCCCTGGGAAGAACAGACTGCTTCATGCCGGGGGATCATTATACCCATCCTTGCCGAGCTAGCAAGCTAGCTAGCCAGCTAGATAGCTAGCTTGCAGACGAGGCCCGCGGAATTCGGCGCTGCTCGTGGCCTGTTGCAGCTGCAGCTGCAGCTGCAGCTTGTGGTCACGTGTGTCTTGGCTTTGGCTAGCAGATGAGCTAGCTGTGGAGCTGCATGGCTAGAGGGCTGAAGGGTGGGGTTCAGCTACCGTTTCTTAGCGGCTTCCTTGCATGCAGGCAGCACTCGTCGCAGCAGCAGCAGCAGCAGCAGCCGCTGAAGCAGCCGCAGCAGCAGCAGCTGCAGCTGCTGCAGCAGCAGCAGTGCCTCCCGCCTCGGGGTGTATCTCCAGCAGAGGACAGGCGTTTTTGTCTTCTGCAAATCCGAGACCTTCAGGGTCGGGTTTCCTCAGACCTTTATAATAAGTCCAACTACTAAATTGCGAGCAATACAAAACAAGAGCGACTATCCTGATTGATATGGATAGACAGTAGCCAACAAACGTTCTACCTGGCTGGAGATCTAGCTAGCTGCATTACAAGCCGTAGGCGTCAGTTGTTCTTGCTTGCAGCAGGGTCACCGAAAAAATTCACTGCCTGTTCTGGTGTAGATACAGCTCTTTGCAGTCTGAGGTGCTGCAGCAGCACCAGCTGCTGCAGCAGGGATCCATCTGCTGCCGTCCACTATAGCAACTCAGTCTTCCCGGGGGTTATCAACCATCACCACAAGCTTAGGAACGAACGGGCAACAGCAGCAGCAGATAAGCGCCAGTAAATGATAATACTAGTGGACAAATGTATTACGCTGGAGCCGCGAGGAAACAGACAAACACCTAGAAAAGTACACTAGGATCGGCCTGTTGCAGTAGGTTAGATTCAGCTTCCCACAGCACATGTTGCTGTGTGCTCTACTACGTGCATCCTAAATATGTGTTACACCTCCTTACTATGTAATTATATATTAACTATTTATGCGTAATTATGTATATATTATTTATATATAACTACATGTATTATATATATTATTATTATATATAACTCAGCGCATGGTCCTCTAGACAAACCACCAACAAAACACCAATTGCGGGAGCCACCTGCCAACGACAGGTAATAGGCATGTGCAACGGATTCTACTGCAGTAGCAACAGCTGTTGCTATAGCATGATTTGAAAAGATAGCTGCAGCAGCCCCGGCTGCTGCTGCTGGATGCTGCAGCTGCAGCCAGCAGCTGCAGCCAAGAACCCTTCCAGCGAAGCATCCGCGATGATGCTAATGGGTTATTTATGGCGAAGAGAGGAAACTAGGGGAGTACATTAAGCGGGAAGTAGGGATAGCGAGTATTTTATTTAGTGAATACGAGAAGAAAAGAAAGAAGAAACTTTAAAACACTTAAACCAATAAATACAGACAAAAGCGAATCAAGTCCCTTCGATACTGAGCCAATCAGGCAGCTACTTCTATCTTGTGTTTCTTCTTCTTTCCTGCCGTCACAACAGAAGCAGCTTCTGCTACGTCTTCTTCTCCCTCATATTCAGCATGTCTTTTCTTCTTCTTCTTCTTTGGCTTCTCCTGTTCCTCCGCAGCCTCCTCTTCATCCTCTGCTGCTGCTGCTGTCTCCCCCTCTGCTTCTGCCGCTGCTGCAGCTGCAGCAGCTGCTGCTGCTTCTGCCTTCGCCTTCTTCTTCTTTGCCTTCCTAAGCGCCTTTGCCTCAGCAGCACGCTGCACCTCCACTTCTGCTGCAGCCTCCCTCATGACGTCCAAATTCTTGCGAGGCACAACGCCGTCAGCCAAATACCTGTGCCGCAGCAACAGCAACATTACTACAACCGTCTTGGGACCGATAACAGACCCACGACAATAGCAGCAGAAGCAGCATCATCCTTGCAACGGCAGCAGCCATCGACAAATAGGAGAACAAGCAAAAACAACAGCAGCAACAGCAGAGGCAACATCGTACTTAAGTCTTTCTTCGAGTTGTTCTCTGAGTTTATCTCCAAAGATGTGCTGCCGCTGGAAGCCGCTGTCTGCCTTATCTGCTTCGTCGCCGAAGGCATCAATGCGGGCAGCGAGAGCACATTTTGAGGCCAAATATCTGAAAAGCAGAGATAAATTAAGACCAATTTTAAGTTATATACTAAAACGCATGCATCTGGAAGATACACTGCTGCCAACGGAAACTTTAGAGGCCCGCCACAGCACCAGCAACCACAGCAGAACTACATGCTGCAGTACCAGCAGCTACAGATTGTGTGTGAGGCAAGTGAGGTGCCTGTACAGCTGGGGATCCTTAAACTGCCGCACCTGCTCATTCTTCCCCTGTGCTTCTGCTGCTGCACTCTTCCAATGAAAGAGGAATGGAACAGTAAGCCATATTTAGGTGTACGACCACTGCGCGACTTCAAAGCTCGGAACAACGCCTGCAACGGGACGAGCAGCAACAGCAACAGTACAGTAGCAGCAACAACGATGCAAAAGCAGGGAGCAACAAGATCGGGAACACGGCGACGACAAGATAAGAGACAATCTGCAAAATGACAAACGACTACAGGGGAAACTGACAAGTACAGGGGTGCACCGAAAATATATATTTATTTAACTACTCGTAGCATTTTACCTTTTCTGCTCCTAAAATTTGTATCGTGGAGGCGGGGTATTTTGCAAGAGAGACGAGAGCACCAGCATGGGAAATCAGGCGAGCACCTAAAACGTCTCCGACCACTGCCTTTAGATTTGGAGAGACGAGATCCATCTTAGCGCTTAAATACTCTTGCAGCGAGCGCCGCTGCTCGCATAGATTTAGCACCTGGAGACACAAAAGCAACAACACAAGAAGCAAAATAGGAGCTCGGAAACCCATGCAAGCGATACCATACATATACGCCCCCACATAGAAAACAACATGGCAAAAACGGAATAAATGGCGCAGAAGAAGCAGCAAGAAGTGCGCCAGCAGCAAGAGCAACAGAAACAGGAACACAAGGCAACGCGACACTATTGCCTCCCTCTGTGGTTCGTATTTCTTGGTGCTGTTTTGTGATGCTTCTTCGTGGAGCTGTGATTTCTCGCTATTTAGTTTGTGTCTTAATGCCACTGCCTCTTGCTTTCTACTTCCATTTCCCTAAGATCGGTAGTCACCTGCTTGGCAAACTCGTGAATATTTTCGAAGTCTTCAGAGGAAATCTCCTGCCCCATCGAGTGCTTCATAGCACTTAGTACCTGTGCAGCAATTTCTTCGCTGTTGCCTACAGCTTCAAGCAGCGCCTCTCGGCCCTCCTGTATATACGAAAAATAAGCAACACCACAATAAACGGGGCATTGGTAGACCGCCGACATACCATAGGAATCGAGTACAGACATGCAAACAAACGCAACAACTGCGTCTGTACTGAAATATACCGCAGTAGCAGTAGCAGCAGCAGCTGCTGCTGCCCTGCATACGGCATGGATGTGCGCATGGTCCTCTTGGATTCGATACAAATACTCAATAATTGGATGTGTGCTTGTGTGCATCCACGCCTGCGACAGCTATTGCGTAGTCCTACCTCTTCGTCGAATTCTTCCTTCTGTTTTACAACAAGAAGCGTCTTGGCGTAAGCCTCTGTATCGGATACGATCTTGACGAGCTCCGGGAAGTGCCATCCGTACCATTCTTTAAGCTTCATAGAAAAGGAGTTGATAGTTTTGTCAAGGGAATCAATAAGAGCAACAGATTGCATAATAGGCTTATCTTGCATGCGCGGATCAAGTTGCATTAAGTGACGGCTGTAGCTGTGGCCAAGACCAACTTGAAACTTGTTCAGAGGAAGCGACTTTAAAGGCTTTGCAAGAGCCTTCATATGCATGCGTACGCCTCTATGCATTTCTAGCATAGCAGGACTATACACCACGCTGTACCCTAAGTTACTTAGGGCCTTTCCTAAGGTAGGATCGCATACACCCAAGGCACAGGCAGTTACCTCCTCCCCCACCCCGGCAAGCTGCTTTTTCTTGCTTTTGCCGCTGCTGCCTTGTCGTGCTGCAGCAGGCATGTGCAACTCCAAGAACTTCTGCATGCAAGGCGGCACTGTGCCGCTTGCTACCCCCACCAGCGTTTCTAAGGCCTCTGCTGCATCGGCGAATGGATAGAATGCCTCGCAAGAAACCAACTGTTTAAAGCGCTGGGCATCAGCACAAGCTTCCTGCACTGCGTCCGTATCTTGTGCTATTGAATCCCATTCCTTAACCCGCAAAAGGAGCAGGCCAGGAGCTGCCTCAAATAATATAAAGGTCTCCGCACTCATGATGACTTCCCCAACTCGTGCTTCCTTGCTCTTCTCCCTCTACAGCTCCTTTCCCGCTGGATTCCCTTGTCCGTCTTGACGGGAGAAAGACAATACAAACCTCGACAAGGTAATGCGAAAGGGAATATAAATCAAGAAACAAAGAAGAAGGAGAAGAAGAGAAGAAACCCGACGATTCACAGTAAGAAAACACACAACGAGAAGACAGACTGCTGCGCAGGACGCGCTACTTCGGAATTCTTCGCTGCGGGATAGTACAGCAGGATAACATCAACAAGCCGAAGAAAACCAAAGAAGCCGCAAAGAGAGAAACGCAACAGCGGAAACAATCACAGTATAAACATCCCGATCAATATATATCGAGAGTGAGGACCCCGCCCGTGTGGGGGGGGGCGAGAGGGTAGAGAAGCAGCTATTCGAGGTTTTATAAACTGCCTTTTCTCTTTTCAGAAGAAATATAATTTAACAATTAACCTGAAATAACCTTAAGGCGGACCTTCTCCTCAAAATTGCTGCAGGCAGCATAAGAAAACGCAAACCAATGGGGCTTGGAGGCCTCTGCCAACTTTCATGAAATCGGACAGCCCCACACGCAGCAGCTGTTGTTTGTTTTGAGTAGTCTTTTCCCTCTCGCTATTATGTTTTTTTCTAATTTGTTTTCCTCTTGCCGCTGATTAATCTATAGTCTGTTTAAAACGCAAAGGACGGGGACTGGCATCAGTTCCATGCCAGGGGAAGCAGCCCCAAACTTGCAGTATGTACTCATGCACACGCGCTGTGGCATTATCTGAATGTGCACAATCTTTAGAAATTAGTAAATATAATATGTCCTTCTGTGTGTTAGTATGCTTGTGAAAACGCAACATTCGTCGAATATTATCTACAAAATGCCAAGCACTACCGGGACATATTAGGACGCTCCGTGTAGGGAGTTCTATTTAGTACCGCCTTGAAGTTGGTGCGTTTCCTTTCTTTTATCTGCATGCACTTCAGGCTATACAGAAATATTATGTGAGTAACAACTGTCGTAAGAGTTAGTGTATGCATTGAAGGGTAACTACTAGTCGGGGGATGCGTAAACTAGGGATTGCATCAATCTGCACTCTAACTGCAAACAAGTGGCATCATCTCCCCGTCAACCCAAAGCCCTTGTGCAGCTCTTCCAAAGATTTCTGGAGAGTAAAGGGATGCCAACAACGCCAGACACAATATAATACACATGCGCACCAACTTCTCTTGAGACACCACAAGACTTCGTCTACATCGCTCGTGTTTCTGTTTGCCCTGCAAGGTATTGACCAAGCAAAAAAGGGCAACATTTACCAAATAAGGAGAGGCATAGAAACAATGATGAGGGCGACGAGGCTGAGAGGCATCTGCCGAAGTTGTTTCTCGTGCCTAGCCGCTACAGGGCCCTTATCATTGAGTAGATCTGAGGACTGTTCCCCTGGTCCTCAACGAATGCGTAGTTCCCTGAGTGCTAACAAGATCGAATTTCACTAAACTGCAATATTCAGGTGACCACGGAAGGGTGTGCTTGCTCTTCTCGGTTACCTCTTGTAACTCTGCTTCCATTGCTGTGTCACTGATTCCACCCTCGTAATAGCAAAATCAACCAAATTTTCTGTAGTGTGCTGCTGCCTGAACGCGATTGTCTTCTCTCATACGGACTTTCGTAGTGTCTATCGAAATTGTGTCTCTCGGAAGCCTTATACTCATCCTTCGCTGAGCCGCACGACATCGAGCTAGTCTAACATGAAAGCCCTGTCTTATGGTAATACGACTCACTCCACACATCTCCGCAGGCTTCACCTTTTCACTTTGTTTCCTTCCTTGTGGCACACCACGCTAATGATTGCCTCTCTCCAAGGGACAGCATGAAACGCAGCATCCATATGGAAACTCCGAGCTTAACGCTGGAATTCTATTTATAAAGGGACTATTACTGCTAGGTGTAATGCTGTATCGATTGCAACCCTCGTCTAAAAGGTCTTCCGACCTGGTGTCACGAACAGAGCAGTGAATATAAGAGAAAGTTTGCATAACCTGGATGTGTTCCGGGTGCTTTCACACTGTACGCTCGTAATGTATATTCATATCACGCAACCCTTTCCGCTTCTGGTCAGCATGAGATAGGAATTCCTATTGAACTTGCCTTAGGGCACCGGCTTTGTTGTTGCACTGATATGGGTCCCACCAGAAACATTTTCAATATGGAGGTGTTCCCCATTTTTATTAGCTTCCCGACTGACTCCCAGCTTGAATATGAACTTGACACAATAGGTAAAAGGGTACGTATGTGGTGTTTCACAAATGCTGAAGTCCCCACCACCGTCACTGCTCCTCAGAGGCGGATTGGAGTTAACCACAGCAGGGCCTTCCTCCCACTCCGATTCCCCGCCCTCGATTCTCTCTGTTGTACTTTCGCTAGAGAGTAGATAGGGACAGTGGGAATCTCGTTAGTCCATAACTGCGCGTTACCAATTAGACTACTGGGCCTCCCGTGTTCTCAGACTGTAATTATTACGTGCCAACGGCACAAAAACCATGCAACTGTATTAAACTGGGGAAACTCAGTCAGATCAACTGCTTTCTCTTCATAGGTCTCACAGCACACTGCATAGCTGCAGCAACATCGTAGAGGGTTCGGTGATTTAGTCAACCCCAGGCTACATACCCCGCGCTGTTTGTAATATAGTATGCGGACGTTGCCAGTCTCTCTGGCTGTAGATGTCTCATTAATCCCGCTCACTACGTTGGAATTGTGCAGCAAGAAATCAGAAACCTTCAACAGCGGCCAACAGTGTTCGAGCATGGAGCACGTAAGCCTCTGTTGTTGTTGCATGCAGTGCTTCCTTGCGCCTCTTGCGCTAAGGTGCATTGCAACTGGTGACCTTAACCGCGGATGTAGCATAGTCTGAGTGAATTTGCTCAGTCTGACTGAAGCGGGCATGGGGTGTTACACGACCCTAATTGACAAACGGTACGCAAGCAAAACGCCTCCACAATGGTCTACCGTGTACGCGCACACAGCGAGGAAGGTTCGTTTATGCTTGTGTGCGGTGCTTCCTTGCACCCTGAGTTGCACGAAGTTATACCACAGTACTCATGCCGGTTCGCCTCTTCCCCCGCAACCCGAGGAGCTTGCTCTGCTGCTCTCAAAACTCCTGGAGACTAGGAAGGCTGGTTTGGTGCTGTTTAGGAACTTCCCTGATGAGTATGTTGGCTGCATTGCATCGCACACTCCTTCTCTTATATCAACCGAAGGAACTGCGTTGCCCATCAGGCCGTCTCGTCCCCCTTAGGCCTTGATGTATTGGCCTCTGTGATACGGAGAGAGAGGAGGATGTAATTAGTTTATTTTCAAGGACTATTATCTTCCTTTATTTGGCCTTGATTGCAGCTCGCGACGGGGGGGGGGGAGAAGATCGAGAACAGACGTGACACTACAGCAGCACGGGGCTTCGAGGTGGCATTAGCAATTAGAAAATGCTTTATTACACATTTGTATTTATAATTTTAAATTATTATAGAGTAAATTTCAAAGAAAAAGATCAACGAGGCCTCCCGTGCAAGTGTCCCGCAGCCGCTGCTGCTGTTGTTGCTGGTACTGCTGCTGTTCGCTGCTGCGGTTGCTGCTGAGCATCCGCTCTGTGTGTATGCTTGTGCTGCTGGGGATCATACACCTGAAGTTTGTATTTATGACGTTGTTAATTAATTAATTTGTATTTATTTAAATAAAAACAAAATGGTCACGCAGGGGCGTCCTTGCTAAAGTATCTTATGATACAGCGCTTCCATGCACCTCGGTCGTTCCATCACTTGCTGCTGCTGCTGCTGCTGCTACTGCTGCTGCTGCTGCTGCTGCTGGGATCGGAGAAGCACCAGCTGTGTCTGAGAGTCTGCATATGAAGGGGAGTCAGATTAAGTGTCTAAACAGTCAAGAGAGAGAATATTTCAGAGGGTCGCTGCAGCAACAGCTACTGTTGATGCAGTGTGCCTGCAGCAACAGGAGCTGCTGCTGCTGCAGCACAGCAGCAGTTGCTGTGCCCGTCTCAACGCGCACTTGTTGCTGCAGCTGATCGGCTGCAGGCCTAGAGGATCCTTGCTGCCTGCGGATCTTGTTTGGATGGGACGTTATAATTAAATTGAAGAAATACTTCATCCCTCTTGTGCTCTTATTCCGCTGCTGCCCAGGTGCACGTACACCCGAGCACCTGCGCGTGTCTCTCTCGGTGTCCGTCCAGCAGTCTGCTGCTGCTGCGCTCGAGCGGCTGCCGCCCCAGCAGCTGCAGCAGCAGCAGCAACTGCAGCAACACTACCTGCAGCAAAGGCAGCAAAACACAACTGCTTCTTCTCATTTAACCCTGACCCTCCTCCCCCAGGCGCCGAGCCGCACGGGCCGCCCCATCCGTTGCCGCTGCTGCTACTGCTGCTGCTCCCTGCGGTGCTGCTGCAACAGCAGGAGAGGCAGCAGCAGCAGCAGAAGAGCTCCTCACAGCAGGGTGCGCTTGCCTCTTTTATAGTTTGCTGTCTTGCGAGAAGCTGCGCCGCTGCACCAGCAGCCCAGCTGTCACACCAGCTGCAGCAGCTGCAGCAGCAGCAGCAGCAGCAAGCCTTGTCCGTCTCTCCACCACCGCAGAAGGTTTATTGAAGGCGACAGCCGTCCTATTGCCCTTTAGACCATACCAAGCCACCCGCCACGGCAGCACACACCCCCTCCGGTGTCTGTACGCAGCAAACAGGAGGTGACACCCGAGGTGACTGCAGCAAAGAGCACACACAGCAGCAGTAGCAGCAGCAACAGCCGCAACAGCAGTAGCCGAAGCCGCCGCCGCCGCAGCAATAGCAGTAGCAGCAGCAGATCTCTTCTTCACGAGTTAGTTTGGTCTTTGAACCCCTTGGCGACTAGAGGGAACCGATCCCGAAAAAACACGACCCCAGGGAGACGATCCCACGGAGACGAACTCGATCCCTGGGAACCGATCCCAGGGAGTCGAGCGACCCAACAGGGAGACGATCGATCCCAGGGAGACGATCCCACAAGGAGACGATCCCAGGGGACTACTACCCCGGGGACGTTGTGGGACTTTATTGTTTGTGGGGGGCAGTCAAAGAACTGACCACTTACAAGCAATAATTGCAACCGCAGCAGCAGCAGCAACCGCAGCAGCAGCAGCAGCAGCGCGTTGAGTCACTACAGCAAAGGAACATGAGGAAGCTGCCTTGCCTCTACTGCTCAGGCCTGGCAACATCAGCAGCAGCACTTGGCAGCAGCAACAGCAGCAGCAGGGACGGCGGCAGCGACAGCAGCAGCCACCGTAGTCTTGAGAACGGTAGCAGCAGCAGCAATAGCAGCAGCAGCAACAGCAGTAGCAGCAAATCGCCATGAGGGAAGCTAACGAGGGCTGTGCACCTTTGCTAGAAGAGAGGGTCACCTCCGCCTCCGGCCCCTGCAGCAGCACTACCACTACCGCAGCAGCAGCAGCAGCAGCAGCAGCTCCTGCTGCTGCAGGACGCGAACCAGCACCAAACGCAGCCGCAGCAGGCGGAGAAGGTGTTTTGCCGCTGCAGCACGAGAATGTAGATTCTGCTGCTGCAGCAGGCGAATCAGCAGCAGCATGTCACCGCAAGACAGCAGCAGCAAGCCGGTTGCCGGTGCAGCAGCACCCACAGCACCAGCAACAGCAGAATCAGCAGCAGCAGCAGCAGCTGAAGGCTCTGCTGCTGCCTCCTCTCTTTGGGGGTCCCCGTTACTGTCTTAGTTCTTCTTCCGCTGATTCTCCTGCTGTGTCCCCTGCCTTAGAGGGGACACTTGTCCCCTCAGAGCCACAAGGGAGCCCCACACTGCTGCTGTCATCTGCTGCTGCTCTCGGTGCTGCTGTTAAACCCCAGCAGCACCAGCAGCAACAGCAACAGCAGCAGCAACAGCAGCAGCAGCAGAGGCAACAGCAAAGGGAACGGGGACAGCAGCAGCAGCAGCAAGAACAGCAACAGCAGAAACAACTGCTACTAGCACTGAAGCAACAACAGCAACAGCAACAGCAGCCACAACCGACGTATCTGCTGCCTGCTGCGGCTGCGGAGACAGCTGCAGCAGCACCCGAGCATCCGCAGCACAAGCAACCTGCTGCTGCTGCTGCTGCTGCAGCTTGTGCTGCAGAAAAAGGCAGCGAAAATAGTCCAAGGGGACAGCCTCAGCAAGACCCAGTGCACGTAAGTGCATCAGATGACACTGCAGCAGCAGCAGCAGCAGCAGCAACAGTTGCTGCAGCAAAAGCGCTAGCCAATCGATGGTCAGCCTCGGAGGCCCCTCGAGTGTCTGCTAATGCGCAGTGCAGCGAAATGCGGTCCTTGACAGCAGCAGCAGCAGACGCAGCAGCAGACGCAGCAGCAGACGTATCAGCAGCAGCAGAAGTAGCAGCAGCAGGACAAACAGCCCCAGCACCGTCAGCACCAGCACCGACGGCAGCAGCAGCAGAAGCAAGCAGCAGCAGCAACGAATATGCTGCTCCTTTAAGTTGTTTGTCCTTAGAGAGATTAATATTACCTATACCTGCCGATATATTGAGGCTAGGGCCTGCAGCAGCGCAGCAGCAGGGAGTGCATGCAAGGGAGAAGGAAGGCTGCCAGCAGCAGCCGCAGCAGCAGGAACAGCGGCAGCAGCAGCAGGAACAGCAGGGACAGCAGCAACCGCAGCAGCAGCAACAGCAGCAACAGCAGCAGCGGGGCAACAGCGAGTGGGAGGGAGACGCGCCAGAGGCTTCTTGGCAGTTTGCCTCCCTTGCTGCTTCTGTAGACCCAGCAGCAGCAACAAAAGGAGCAACAACAGCATCGGCAGCACCAGCAGCAGTACCAGCAGCAGCGGAAGCAGAAGACGCAGAGACGGATGCTGTTAGTTGCAGAGAAGGTCTTTTAGGTCTCCAGCTGCAGCAGTTGGCTACTGAGCCAATGCTGCATGCAGCATCTTGTGGCGGCGGCAGCAGCAAAGTGCTGCACAAGAGGGCTGCAACAGCAGCAGCAGCAGCTGCTGCTGCCCCTCCTCCGCGTACCGCTCCCCGCTGCCGCAGCAGAGCAGCAGCAGCATTTAAACAACAAGGAGGAGCGGCAAGACAAAAGGGCCTCCCTTCTTGTGAGCTTTGTGCCTCCGAAGACAGACTTATATTCCTTTGTGCTGCTGCAGCAGCAGATGGCTGCCTTGCAGTTGCTGCTGCTGATCCAGATAACCCAGAAGCAGCAGAAGCAGAAGCAGCAGCAGTCGCAGCAGCAGCAACGAAGGGACAGCCGGACAGATTTGCTGAGCTCGTAGCGGGGCTGTGGGATCGAAGGGGGTCATCCCCTGCAGATTCACTGCAGCAGCAGCAGCAGCAACGACTGCAGCAGGAGCAGCAAGAGCATCATGGGCAACAGCAGCAACGCGACGAGGTTTCTTGCTGCCAGCACATGAAGGAGGAAGACCAAACGCAGCCTCCGCTACCGTCACAGCAGCAGCAGCAGCAACAGCAGCAGCAGCAGCACGAACACCAGGAACAGCAACCTCCGTCAGAAGATCTCCAGCTCATGGAGAACGAGGAGGTGCCAAGCAGCACCAAAAGCACCACCGGTGAGAACAGCAGAAGCAGCAGCAATAGCTGCAACAGCAGCAGCAGCAACAGCAGCAGTTGCTGCTGCAGCAGACCCGATGCTTCGGGGGAATCCTTAGGGGGCCTCTCTATAGAGATGCAGCTACTTGCATGCGGTTTCCTTTCTTTGTCTTACACTGGCACTAAGCTGCCAACAGCAGCTTGTCTAGCAGAATTGCAGCGTATATGTACAGGGGGGGAGCCTTGGGGAGCAGCAGCAGCAGCAGCGGCAGCAGCAGCGGCAGCAGCAGAAGACACGGACTCCCCACCATTAGATACCCTTGTAGGTGGGCCTAAAGGAACTGAAGAATCAGATCGCTGCGGGGAAGGCAGCAGCGTAAGATCTAAGGGTGATCTAGATGCAGCAGCAGCAGCAGCAGCTGCTGCTTCTTCTTCTTCTTCAACGGCAGCGAGAGACAGCGTATCAGCAGCAAGCACCGAATCATCTACAGCAGCAGCAGCAGCAGCATCATCATCTGCAGCAGCAGCAGCAGCAGCAGCGTCCGTATCATCATCATCATCATCATCGTTAGCAACAACAACCCCAACAACAACAACAACCCCAGCCCCAACACCAACCCCAACAACGCCAACAACAGCAGCATCATCATCATCAACAGGATCATCATCATCATCATCATCATCATTAGGAGCAGGAGGAGCAGGAGATGCAGGAGGAACAGAATCATCATCATCTACCTTATCATCTTTATTACATTTAGGTTCCTTATTAGATTTACTAGAAAGAGCACCAAAAGTATGCGGAGTCTCATTAGATACACAACGTCAATCTTTTTTATCCTATTTTCAATCCCATAAAACAGAAAGAAAAAATAGAAGAGGATTATCACCATCAGGTAGAGGTAGAGGTAGATGTAGTAAAAGATTTCAATTCAATTCTCCTACAGAATTATGTAAGGCATTTTGGCGAGCTGTATTATGGAGACGTGCACATGAATTACAAAGAGGACATGATTTAAAGGCTACACCAGCTACTGCAGCAGCAGTTGCAACTGCAGCAGCAGCAGCAGCAGCAGCAACAACAACAACAACAACAACAACAACAACAACAACAACAACAAACACAACAACAACGACAACAAATGAAACAGTTGTAGGGAATAGTACGGCTGCTGCTACACCAGGGACAGCAGCAGAAACCGCAGCCGCAGCTGCAGCGGCAGCGGCTGCTGCGGCTGCTGCTGCTGCGGCGGCGGCGGCTGCGAATGCTGCACCGACACAGAATGGGGCAGGTGGGGCCGGAAATTGTAACAGCAGGGGGATGCAACATAAAGGGTCTAGGTTGCTGCTGCAGCATGCAGCAGCAAACTGGGCGGTGGCAGCTGCAGCTGCTGCTGCAGATAGGGAACAGGATGGGGCAGCACTCCTGCTACAACAGCAACACCTGGAAGAAACAGCAGCAGCTGCAGGTGCTGCTGCTCTCCTTCGGTTGCAAAGAGAAGATCAGCATCAACAGGGAGGAGGGGCAGCGGGAACAGCAGCAGGACCAGCAGCAGCAGCAGCAGCAATCAACAGCAGCACTGTTGCTGCTGCAGTGGGAGAACTCTTCAGAGGGGCACAAAAAGAAGAAAATGCTGAAGGGGGCCCCACATCAGCAGTCAAGGGAATGTTCGCGATTGGCAATAATGGCTGGGCAGATACCGCAGCACTGCAGCAGCAGCAACAACAGCAGCAACAGCAGCAGCAACAGCGGATACAAGAGGGACTTCTAGGTTCTGTGGGAGAAGCAGCTGGAAGTGCAGCAGCTTCGTGCTTGTCTAAGGAGTTGCTGCGGTCTTTGCCGACGCTGGGACCACGCAGAAGGTGTAGCACATCTGTTGCTGCTGCTGCACCTGCTGCTGTTGCTGCTGCTACTATTGATAAGGAGTTCGCTGCATCGGCAAGCAACGCAGGCGGGCTTTTGCTGCGGCCCTTCAGCGGTCGCCCCCAACCACCTGCAGCATTACCATCGTCATCCGCACCATCAGCAGGAGCAGGAGCAGCAGCAGGGGCAGCAGCTGGAGGAGCAGCAGCAGGAGCAGCGACAACGGGAGCAGCAGCAGCAGCTCATCCTGCCGCAATCCCTTGCGGGCGTTACTTTAGGGGTTCTCGTGGCTTTTCGTTTTCTTTTGGCGATGAGGGAGTAGCAGCAGCCGCAGCAGCAGCAGCCGCAGCAGCCGCAGCACCAGCATCATCTTCCCCGCCATCCGCAGCATCTGCAGCATCCGCAGCAGCATCCGCCGCCGCAGCAGCAGCCCGAGTTGCAAGAGGATCCGAGTGTCCATCTAACACATTACGTTCTCTCCCTCTTAGCAGCACCAGTGTGGTACCCTCTAGTCGTAGCTGTGGGGGCCCCCGGGGGCCCCCATCCCATTCTGCTGCTAGTTTAGCTGAGGCTGTAGCGAAGCTGCCTCGGGTATACGGGGTTTGCTTCGATAAACAAAATGCTTCTTTTATGGCACAATTGCAGCATAAAGGAAGAAGAGAATGTAAACATTTTAAGATTAAAAAATATGGTGATATTAGTGAGGCTTATCATGCAGCAATTTCTTGTAGAAGAAAAATGGAATATGCACTTCTTGCTGCACCTAGGGGTCTACCTGGTGGTGGGGGCCCCCAAGGTGGGACGGCCCAAGGTGGGGGCCCACAGGAAGGAGGGGGGGCCCCTGGGGGGGCCCCACACCTTAGTAAGGAACATGGCAGAAGGGGAGGACCAATGGATAACACCGCTGACTGCATACATAGCAACCGCAGGAGAGGGGGAGGAGGGAATAAACAGAGAGGCAAGAGGGGGCCCCCCGCTGCAATACCTGATAGCAGGGGGGGCCCGGGGGGCAGCTGCAAAGGAAGAGGAGGGCATAATAAAGAGCAGCAGCAGCAGCAGCATGATGCCCAGTGCCATAAGACTTCCGTTGCTGCAACTGCTGCAGCTGCAGCAGCAGCAGTCGCTGCAGCAGCAGCAGGGAGAGGGAGAGCTGCTGCTGCTCTCGCTGCTGCTGCAGCAACCAACAGGCGAGGGCACTTCAGGGGGGGGGCCCTAGCTATCAAGCGATTTGAAGCAGATGTTGCCCCTTCTGCTGCGGGAAATGCAGCAGCAGCAACAGCAGCAGCAGCAGGAGCAGATGCTGTTGCAAGGGCAACTGCTGCTGACGGTGATGTGTTGCAGCGGCTGCAGCTGCAGCAGCTGGGGGCTTTGCTGCTGCAGGGCCCCCTAGGCAGAGTCCTGAGGAATGCAGATGCTGCCCCTAGGGCGCCACCGACAGCAGCAGCAACTGCACCGGCGGCAAATACCCTCTGCAGCAGCAACAACAGCGCCAACCCCAGCAGCAACGGCTGCAGCAGCAACAGCAACGCTGCAGCTGACGGCATATGGAGCAAAGCAGAGCTGAGGGTGCGCCTACAGCGTACAGCGGCTGCAGCCCTGTTGTCGCTGCAGCCACCTGCTGCTGCAGCACACCGACAGCGAGAAGCAGCAGCAGCAGCAGCAGCAGCAGCGGCCGCTGCTGCGAGTACCCTACCGCCGACTTTGCTTCAGCTTATTCCGTCGTCCACACTCGCAACGAGAGATACAAAAGAAGCAGCCGCAGCAGCCGCAGTAGCAGCAGCAGCTGCTGCTACTACATCTGCTAGTGCTGCACCCGATGGATTCGGCCTTATAGATGCCCTCCTTCCCGCAGCAGCAGCAGCTGCTGCTGCCGACACTTGCAGCAGCCAGTCAGCAGCAAACTATTCTACAGCAGCAGCAGCACCTGCTGCTTCTGGCTGCTCTCCTATGATATGGCCTCAAGGCAAACCCGCCGCAGCAGCAGCACCAGCAGCAGCAACAACAGCGGCAGCAGCAACGGCAGCAAGGAGGCCTCCGCTGACTTCACGTGTTTGCCTGACAGACACAGGGGCTTGTCCAGCTGAAGGAGTTTCTAAGAAGAGAAAGGTTGGTGGTGCTGCTCCTGCTGGTGGTGCTGCTGTTGTCAACAGCTGCAGCAGCCCTCCGGAGGCAAATACCGTTGCCCCCTTGGCATGCGAACGACAGCAGCAGCTGCAACAGCGGCATTCGATTCTGCCACCGACGCCCGCTGCTGCTGCTGCTGCTGCTGCTGCTGCATGCGCAGCGTCAGACGCTCAGCAGAATGCAGTTGTGCAGCGACAGCAGCAGCAACAGCAGCAGCAGCAACAGCAGGAACCGCAGCCTTCGCGAGTATATCTGCAAACATTATTGGAGCTCGCCACGTTGCTGTCAGGAGGGACTGAGCAGCAGCAGCAGCAGGTGCTGCTCCTCTTAGCAGAGGCTGCAGCAGCGGCGAACATTAACGCCAGCAGCAGCGCCGCTAACAGCAGCTGCAACAGCAGCAGCAACAACAGTAGCAGCAGCATGCAGGTTGGAACGCATGCATCAAGAGCTGCTGCTCTTACTGCTGTAGAAAGAGCACTTGCTGCTCTTACAAATCCTACTCAAGATATATCAGCAGCAGCAACAAGCCTTGCAGCACCAGCTCCTGCAGCAGCAGCAAGGCGGCCACCACCAGCAGCAGCAGAGCCAAGAGTAGCAGCAGAAGAACTGACAACTGCTGTAGCACTGCAGCAACTCATTTCACAAGGGAAACCTCAGAGGGCCCCCCACCTGTGGGGCCCCCTTGTGCAGCTTCTGCTGCAGCAGCAGCAACAAAGCAGAAGCACTGAGCAGCAGCAACAGCAGCAGCAATTGCTGCAGCAACCGAACGACCCTACAGCAGCAAAACGCCTTCTGTGGGAAATCCAGCAAGCCAGCAACAGCTGCAGCGCGGTAGAAGCAGCAGCAGCAGCAGCAGCAGCAGCGGCAGCAGGATCGACCCCCCACCCCGATTCCAAAGCTGCTGCTGCTGCTGCTGCAGTCGTCAGTGCTGCTGCTGCTGTTCCCCTAGAAAGGACAGCTTCTAAGATAGCAGCTCTTGAGTATTCACCGCGGGTATAGGTTGAGGTGTACAGACACCTCAATTATTACCTGCTTCTTCTTCATATACCTTAATGAAATTGTACAGATATATGCTAACACCTTCGGGGGCCCTTAGGGCCCCCCAGGGGCCCCCGAGGGGCTCCCAAAGAACCCTAAGGAGATCCAACGGCCTCCATTGGGTTTAGAGGGACCCTAGTGGCTGCATGGGGGCTCCCTAGGCACCGAAGGGGCCCCCCTGGGCTTGAAAGGGCCCCTTAAGACCAGGGGGCCCCAAGGGCCCCCAATGGATCCATAGGGGTCACCGAAGACCCTAAATGGGTTGAAAAGGGCCCCTAGGGCCCCCGTGCTTGTCTCCGATTGGATATATAGAATTGTTTTAAGGGCCCCCAGGTATGCGGAGACCCTGTGGTGCTCTCTGTGTTTGTCAAGGGCCTGTTTAAGGGTCTTGAAGGCGTAAGGGGCCCCTCCACAAGGGGCCCCCAGGGGGCCCCTCCGACAGGGGCCCCCCAGGGGCCCCTGCTAGACCCAAAGGGGATCTGAAGTGGTGAGCTAGATATTGGCTGCGGCAATTTGACCACCTTACCATGATTTTGCTGGGAGGACGCCTAGGCTGCAGCAACAGCTGTTGCTGCAGCACCAGCAGCAGCTGTAGCAGGAGATATATCAGCTGCAGCAGCCGCTGTAGCAGCAGCTATAGAAGCAACTGTTGCTGTTGCTGCAGCAGCTTTGTTCAGTTTTAAAATGCCATTTAGAGGGCCTTGGGGCCCCCTAGGGGCCCCCCGGGTAAATTTGGGAGCCGTTTGCTGCTGCACATAACTGCAGCAGATGCAGCAGGAGCTGCATGTTTTGCACCTTTTGCTGCGGTAGCGTTACAGAAGCAGCAGCAGCTGTTGTTAACATCATCATCAGCTGCTGCAGCAGCTGCAGCAGCTACAGCAGCAGTTTGCTGCACTGTCTATACACGTATTTGAATAACGATTTGTCTGGCGGTTTAACTCGTCTTGTCTTTTGAAGAAAGCAGATAAATTACAACATTTTGCTGCTGCTGCTGCTGCTGCTGCTGTTGCTCCTGCTGCTGGTACTGCTGTTGCTGCTGCTAGTGGTACTGCTGTTGCCGCTGCTGCTGCTGCTCCAACAGTAGCACAACACTACGCATCTAGCTAGCTATTAGTAGTTCGCTATATAATGCTCCCCTATACAACAGAAGAGAGAAGAATATCCTCAGCTGTATAGGGAGCTCCTTGGTTCTTATTCCTTTTTTTCTTATGATTGTTCTTATATATATAGATGTATGTCTACATATAATATATAAATAAGAATATAATAAATATAATAAATAATAATTATAAATATAATTATAAATAATAAATAGACATAAAAAGGTTGTCTGTTTATCTGCTGTCTAAAGTAATTACAAAACAAAAAACCACAAAATACGGGCCGTAGCAGCAACAACAACAGCAGCAGGAGCTGCTGCTGCTGCTGGTGTTCTTGCTGCTACTGCGGTGGCTGCTTTCGCCATTACTAGTGCCTCTACTACCTGCTGCTACTGCTAGCTACTGCTGCTGCAACAATCAGGCGGGAAAGAGCATTATCTCGGCAGCAGCAGTCTTGGCTGCAGCTGCAGCAGCGGCTGCAGCAGCAGCAGCAGCTGCTGCTCGCCTTGAAGACTGCCGCTTTTTATGGGCAGGACGGCATATAGTAACAGAACTAGTCTCCCCTTCAGACTCACTGCCGCTGCTGCTGCTGCTGCTGCAGGTATCGTCTTCGGACTGCAGCAACCAGTGAGTAGCCGGGCTAGCAGAAGCAGCAGTTCCTGCTGCTGTTGCTGCTGGTGCTGCTGCTGGTGCTGCTGTTCGGGGTCCTGCTAGTTTTTTGGCAGCAGATGAATCACCGCCACCAAAGATTAATCCAACAACACGCCGCAGCAGAGAGCTTTTCCCTTTTGCTGCTGCTGCTGCTGCTGCTGCTGGATTGGACGGCACTGCCATCTGTGGCAGGGGAAGAACTGCTGCTGCTGCTGCTGCTGGCAAGTTTTGCTGCTGCAGCAGATACAGCTGACTAGATATAGGGTTTTCATCTTTTGTTAGCAATGGCTGCAGCAAAGCCCCCGCATTGGGGGGTCCACATGTGCTGCTGCTGTTGCTGTTGCTGTTGCTGTTGCTGTTGCTGTTGCTGCTGCTGCTGTTTGTACGATTATCGCCTTTGGCTGCATCGCCCTCCGCACTGCCAGCAGCAGCAGCAACAGCAGCAGCAGCCAGTTGCTGCTGCAACAGGGGACCTGGAAAGAAGCAAATAGCTCCTCCCTGATCATCTTTTGTGTCTTTAGCAATAATTCGCCGCTGACGTCTGCTGCTGCTGCTGCTGTTGCTGCTTCTGCTGCTGCTGTGCTCTTGCTGCAGAGCAGCAAGCTCCTTCTTGATTGCCTGCAGACAATCCCTTCTTTCTGCTGCTTCAGCAAACAGCAGCACTAGTGGCACTCGTACACCGTCGCTGAAACACTGCAGCAGCAACAGCAGCAACAGCAGCAGCACAAGCAACATAACCGTAAGATAAGGTATATGCACAACGTATCTAAGACACCACAGCAGCAGCAGAGCAGCAAAGTGGTGAAGGCAACAAAAGCTCCGGCAACAGCAGCAGCAGCAGCACAACCCGTTGTCACATAAACAAGCAGCAACTTCAGCAGCAGCGGCAGCAACCACACATCCGCAGCAGCCACAGCAGCAGCAAAATTCATTCCTTACAAGAATAAGCTGCTGCGTCCTTGGGACTCCCGGCAGCAACAATTCTTCCTCGGAGGCGCCGCAGCAATAGCAACGCCTGGCCACCGGCTGCTCCCGATGCTGCTCCTGCTGCTGCTGCTGTTGCTGCTGCTGTTGCCGGCTATACTTGCTGCTGCTGCCGCTGCCTGAAGGCACCGCCCGACGGGCAGGAGCCCGAATGCAGCAAAAGCCATCAAGCGGAAGACGTGCTGTTGCTGCTGCTGCTGCTGTTGTTGTTGCTGCTGCTCTTCTGTTGCTGCGGCTGCTGCAGCGTGGCAGCAACCACAGACAACCCCCACGGATCTCGCAGACTTCCTGCTGTAAGAAGGCATCCAATGGCTGCCGCTGCTGCTGTTGCTGCTGCTTCTGCTGCTCTTGCTGCTGCTGCTGCTGTGTATCTACCTCTACCATAGCCCACGGCTGCTCCCATTCCGCGTTTGCTGCTGCTGCGGTTGCTGCTGCTGCGGTTGCTGCTGCTGCTGCTGGCCCCCGAACAACTGGACCCTCCAACCCAGATGAAGCAGCCAGCGGATGCTTAGCCAACAGCTGCTGCTGCACTTGCGCCTGTTGCTGTTGCTGTTGCTGCTGCTGCTGAGGTGCTATGAGGACGGTGCTGCAACCGGCGGGAAGCAAACCATGGCGCCACACGAAGCACTTAAAACTGTCGCTGCCCGACTGCTGCTGTTGCTGCTGCTGCTGCTGTGGGTTTTGGTGGTGGTGTTGCTGCTGTTGGTCCTTCACTGCGCCTGCAGCAAATTGCTGCAGCCGCGCGCATGCAGCAGCCAGCAGCTGCTGCCGCTGCTGCAGTGTTAGGTCTGTTCGGAGGCCCATGAATCCTGCTGCCAGTCGGGAAGCAGCAGCAATAACTTTTGCTGCTGCAGCAGCTGCAGCTGCTGCGTCTGGTGCAGCAGCAGCAGCAGTAGTAGCAGCGGAACGGGGATTCGCAAGGCAATCCACCAAGTGCAGCAGGCGGTCTTGACAAGCAGCAGCGGGAGCCATGAGGAACTGCTGCAGCAAGTGCAGCAGCAGAAGGTTCTGTCCGAGCGTTCTTGCTGCTGTTGCTGCTGCGGCTTGCTGCTGCCGCTCTGCTGCTGTTGCATGCGATGCCACAAAGGCAGCAAACGCCTTAAAAAACAAATCACTATCGCGCTGCAGCTGCAGCAGCAAACGCGAGGGGAAATTACTTTGTTGCTGCCTGCAGAAGAAAGCAGCACAGCATGCAACCCTGCATAATACAGCCGAAGCCAGCAATAGCAGCAGCAGCAGCAGCAGCAGTAAAAGCAGCAGCAGTGGTGGTGACAGCGTTGCGCCTGTGCAGGGGGCCGGGCAAGACGACGCAACAACATAAAAGAACAGCAGCAGCTGCTGCACTGCAGCATCAACACCTTCAGCAGCAGCAGAAGCAGCAGCAGCAGACGCACCTCTTGGGTCGGCTTAGCCAGACGCAGCGGAAGTAGCAGCGAAAGGCCCTCCTTATGACTCCCGCAAGGGCAGCAGCAGCAGCAGCAGGCAGCAGCCTGAGGTGTATCTGCAGCAGCAGACCGCCTTCTGGTGCAACGAGCAGCCGCAGTTTCTCCCTCAAGTCAATGGACAGCACGTTCGAGCTGCAGCACCAACAGCAGCAGCAACAATAGCAGCAGCAGCAACAGCAGCAGATGCAAGGTGTGCTACGCTGCAGCATTCATACTAACAGCAGCAACAACTGTAGCAGGAGAAGCAACCGCCAGCCACTTTGTAGCAGCGCGACCGTGACAACAGCAGCAGCAGCAGCAACAGCAGCAGCAACAGAAGACCTACTGCTTCCTCATTGCTTCTTCAAAAGGTTTTGCTGCTGCAGCACTTATTTGCTGCTGCAGCCGCCGCAGCAAACGAGCGCATGCAACAGCCTCTGCAGCACAACCTGAAGAAATTCCCTCCTGCACTTCTGCTGCTTCCTGCTGCAGCAGCTCGAGCTCTCTTAGCCCAAGATATCTAGCAGCAGCAGTAGCTGCTGCTGCTGCTGTTGCTGCTGCATCTGCTGCTGCTGCTCCAACTTTGGGGGTCGGCCTGCAGGCAAGCGAAGTAACGCGAGAAGCGGATCTGCTGCTGCTTGTGGGTGTCTGTGCAGTTGCTGCTGCTGGGCTTGCTGCTCCTGCTGCATCAGACCTTGGAGGACTGCTGCTGCTGCGGGATTGCTGCTGCTGCTGGTGAAGGTCGCCTGCTGCTGGAGCAGATGTGTATAGACGCCCTGGCACAGCAGCAGCAAGTTGCTGCAGATTAGTTAGGCCTCCCCGTACAGAAGACAGTAGACCCTGCCAGCGGTTCCCTTGCTGCTGCTGTTGCTCCTGCTGCTGCTGCTGCTCTTGCTGCTGCAGTTCTTCTTGCTGCTGCTCGTGTTGCTGCTGTTCCTGCCATTGCTGCTGCTCTTGTGGTTGCTGTTCCTGCAGTTCCTGATGCTGCTGCTGCTCCTGCTGCTCCTCTGTTGCTTGCTGCTGCCACTGCTGCCACAGCTGATCAAGAGGGGTGTCTTTGCTGCTTAGATGTTCTTCGCTCATGCATGGGGAGGAGGGAAGCTGGCAGCAGGGGCTGCTGCTGCTGCTGTTGCTGCTGCTTCTGTTAGTTGGAGGGCTTCCCGGCGGCACGGTGCTTAAGCGTGCTGCTGCTGTTCCTGCTGCTTGCTGCAGCGACCGCTCGATTTGCATGCAAAGCAGCAGCAGCAGCGTTGCGTCGTTTGCTGCAGCACAAAGAAGGTCTAAAGGCGCAGCCTGCAGAGACAGCAGCAAGGCCCCCCCTTGTTGCTGCTGCTGCTGCTGCTGCCACAGAAATTCCTTAGGAAAGAGACCCAGGCGATAGGGGGCCCCTAGGAAGCAAAATGTGCTGTGGAACTTAGCAGCAGAAGCAGCAGCAGCAGCAGCAGAGTGCAGCTTGCTAGGATCTCCGTGAGGACTTGCTGCTTCTTCTCTCTCTGCAGCAGCAGCAGAAGCAACTGCTGCTGCTGCTGCTGTTGCAGCATGCAGTGCCATGATGTTGTTTACCCCGTCGCTGCTGCTGCTGCTGCTGCCAAAGTGCTCGTCTAGCTGCATGGCTCTAACAGATCGCGCATGCAGCGCAGCAGCAGCAGCAGCATCGGCAACGGGAAGGGAAATGACGGGGGGAGGGGCTTGAGGAACTGCTGCTCTTGCTGCTGTTGCTTTTGCTGCTGGCGCTGCTACTGTTGTTGCTGCAGCTGCAGAACTGAATGTCTGCCCCTGCAGCGCCCCCACAGCAGTACGGAGAGCAGCACGAAAGACCTGCAGCAGCTGCAGCCACACAGCAGCAACTTGTGCTTCTGTTGCTTGCTGCAGCAACGGCAGCAGAAGCTGCTGCAGTGCCTCAGCAATACCAGTAGACAAGCACGATGCAGGTGCAGCAGCAACAGCAGCAGCAGACCCTCTCTGCTGCTGCTTCTGCTCGCCGCAGATCTCCTCAGCAGCTCGCAGTCGCAAGCGCAACGGCAGCTGTTGCTGCCGAAGCTGTTGCAGCAAGAGCTGCAGCTGGTTCCTGCATGCAGCAGCAGCAGCAGCAGCAGATGCAGCATATTCATCAATAGACAAACACAAATAACGAGGAGAGCAAACAGGAGCAAACGAACTACTGACACCGCGAAGGGCAGCAGCAAACCTGCTGCTACTGCTGCTGCATGCATACATGCGTGCTGCTTACATGAGTTGCTGCTGTGCTGCAGCAGCAAATCGGCAGCACAAGCCCTGCAGGGATATATCCAAGGAAGGATAAGAAGCATCATTTAGCTGCAGCAGCAGCCGCTGCCTCCCCAGTGCTGCAACAAGTTGCTGCACACCCACACAAGTAGCAGCAGCAGCAGCAGCAGCAGTGAATAGCTGACTGGTACATAACCCCTGAACAACTGCTCACTACTACAAGGAGCTGGCTAGCTAGCTAGCTAGCTAGCTAGCCAGCCAGCTAGCTAGCTGGCAAGGAAGATGAGTAGAAAAAGTGCAGGGCGTCAAGACAAGAAAAGATGCAACTGGTGCTGCTGCTGCTGCTGCTGCTGCTGTTGCTGCGGCTTACATAGAGTGCATCTCCACTTGGGGCGGAGGTGGCCGTGGCGAAGACACCCGACACCAAACAAAGGGCCTGAGCAGCAGCAGCAGCAGCAGCAACAGCAGCAGCAACAGCAAATCTATGCACAAGACAACACCAGCAGCGAGGGTAGAAACAAAACGAAAGAAGCAGCACCAGGGGCAGCAGCAAATGCAGCAGCAGCAGTAGCAGCAACAGCAGCAGCAGCAACATACAGGAAACAATACATCTTTACATAGACTTGCTACTTGCTGCTGCCTCCTTTGGCTTCCCCGCTGCAGCAGCAGCAGCAACTTCCTTTCTTCTATCTTGAGTTGCTGCAGCTGCTGCTCACGCTGCTGCTGCTGCTGCTGCAGTAGCACCAGCAACTCCTCTACATGGCACAGAGCAGCAGCAGCAACTTCGCTGTCATCATCAAGAAGCTTGCTGCTGCTGTTGTTGCTGCTGCTGCAGCTATCTAGTGCTGCACCTTCTGCTGCTTCCTGCAGCTGCAGCAACTCTTTCTCCTTAACAAGACAAACCCTAGACAATTCTGCTGCTGCTTGTCGCAGCTGCTGCAGCTGCATGCGTGTTTGCTGCTGCTGCTGATGCTGCTGCAGCAGTTGGGCACGAGCAGCAGCAGTAGCAGACTCTAAGAAGTTTGCTGCAGCACCTGCTGCAGCATCAGCTCCTGCAGCAGCAGCAGCAGCAAACTCGCGCTCATCCCATACCCAAGTAACAAGAGGAAGAATAGTTGGCCTCCTGTGGGGCCTCCTTCTGCTGCTACTGCTGCTGCTGCTGATGCTGTTGCTGCCGCTGCTGCTGCTGTAGTGCGGTCTAACGCCCCCCTCAGGATGCTGCCTTCTGCTTCTCCTGCTGCTGCTCCTCTTGCTGCAGCAGCTGCTGCATGTGCATTCCTGATGCTCCGCTGTTACTGTATAAGCAGCAGCAGCAGCAGCTGCTGCTGCTGCTGCTGTTGCATTCTCGCTTGCTGCTGCAGCCCCTCCCTGCCACTGCCCTGTCGCTTTAGAAGGGGTTAGGTTCTGCTGCTGCTGTACTTGCTTCTGCTGGTGCTGCTGTTGCTGCTGCTGTTGCTGCTGATCCGGAGTCACTACTGGGGTGTATCTCTCCAATTCCTGTGGGGAAGAAGCGATGGATTGCTGGTGCTGCTGCTGCTCCTGCTGCTGCTGCTGTTCCTGCTGCTGCTCTTGCTGCTCATATGCCCCACCATCCTTAAGCAGGTCCGGTTGCAGCTGCTGCAGCACCTTCTGCTGCTGTGCAGGTCTGTGGCTCTCTTGCTGCTGTTCCTGCTGCTTCTCCTGCTGCTGATACTGTTGTTGCTGCTGCTGTTGCTGCTGCTGTAGCTCTGCCACAAGAAGTTCCCCATTCAACATTTGCTGCTTCTCCTGCAGTTTCTGCTGCTGCAGCTGCTTGTAGTGTGAGCTGCTGTCAGGTGTAGCTGCTGCTGCAGCAACAGGTGTTGCTGCTGCAGTTGCTGCTGCAGAGCTGCGGGTCATCAGCAGCACCTGACTGTCTTCTTTGCTGCTCCATGCACGCTCCATTGCGCACTCCAAGGCAGCAGCAGCAGCAGCAGCTGTTGCTGCTGCATCTGCAGCAGCAGGACCGCGATCTGAAGCCCTACGGGCACTGCTACAGCGTCGTGGTGCAGCAGCAGCAGCAGCAGCAACAGCAGAAGGAGTTGCTGCTGTTGCTGCTGATTCGCTGCGCGCATAAGTTGAAGGATATCCATAATCTATGTCTACAACTGGCTGCTGCTGCTGCTGCATGCTGTCCATGTTTTGCTGCTGCTGCTGCTGCTGTGTGTCTTGACAGAGAAGGATATCCTCTAAGGGATGAGGCTGCAGCACCTGGCGGGAATGCTGCTGTTGCTGGTGCTGCAGCAGCAGCAGCTGCTGCTGCTGCAGCAGCTGTTGCTGCTGCAACTGCTGCTGCTGCAGCTGCAGCAGCTGGTGCTTCTCCTGCTGCATTGCACAGCGGCCTCGCCTGCGGCTGCGTGGTGGCATGGGTGGTCTCCCTCGCTGATGCAGCAGCAGCAGCAGCACGTGCTGCTGCTGCTGTTGCTGCTGCTGCTGCTGATGTGGTGAGGGCTTAGCTGCAGCAACAAAGACGAATTAGGAAGCAACAAACCCCCCTGGAGGTCCATTGCCCAGTTTGTGTTGGGGTGGACCCCCGCATGCAGCAGCAACACAGCAGCAGCAGCAGCAACAGCAGCAGCAAGATCAAAGAGCCACAGCAGCAGCACACGACTGCCACAGCAGCAAACAGCAACACACAGCTGCTGCTTATATTTTAATATAAAGGGTCAGCAGTGAGTCTTCTTGCTGCTGCTGCTGCTACCTCTATAGGACTTGCTGCTGCTGCTGTTGTTGCTGTTGGTCTTGCCTCACAGCAGCAGCAGCAGCAGCAGCAGCAGCAGAACCTCCCTACAATATAACTGAATATATTTTAATAAATATAAACATAAAAGGGAGAAAAAGAAGGAAGAAACACTATATAATATTATCTGCTGCTGCTGCTACCAGCAGCAGCAGCAGCAACAGCAGCAGCAGCAGCAGCTTGGTGTTTCTTTATACTCAATATATGCATGCCCATAGAAGTTCTTAGCAAATACTTTCTTCTTTTTTTTCTTTTTTTTTCTTTTTTTCTTCTTTTTATTTAATTTAATTCTTTTTATTTAATTTAATTTAATTCTTTTTATTTTATTTAATTTATTTCTTCTTTTTATTTAATTTTATTTCTGTACAAACCCTAAACCCTAAACCCTAAACCCTAAACCCTAAACAAACACTCGCCTAACTATGGCTATGAATCACTAAACCCTAAACACTAAACCCTAAACACTAAACCCTAAACCCTAAACCCTAAACCCTACAAGGTAGCCTTAGTAGCAAATACTTAACCATAACCCTAAACCCTAAACCCTAATTGTATAAGGGTGCCATGAGGGCAAGCCCTAAACCCTAAACCCTAAACTTTAGACAATAGAGGCTAAACCCTAAACCCTAAACTATCGACCCCAACCTCTAAACCCTAAACCCTAAACCCTAATTGACTTTATAAGAGTTTCATTGCATGCATTGTGCCGTGTGCTGCGAATACACCGCAGACGCGAATCGGCAGTCTGCTGCTGTGCTGCTGCAGCACAGCAGCAGTAGCAGCAGAAGCAGCAGAAGC